TTAAAAAATTCATAGCTCATTCAGAAAATATCAGGACGAGTTGATAACTTCAAGATAATATCTGTTTTATCCGTTTAAAATGATTATATGATCAGAAAAATTGAAAAAGCATGTTTCCGTACGAACGTTTTCTGAAAAACCTGTCAAAAATCCGTATAATTTTAGAATCTGTTTTTATAGGTTTTTGTATAAATAGGATACAGAATAGCCTGAATTCCGTCCATCCTCAAGTTTTTAACTCGTCCTGGTGTATTCTAAGTGAGCGCTGACTTTTCTCATATTCCGTGAGAAGAGCGCAGAAGTTCCAATTTTCATAAAACGCGCTTTTCACCTTGCTCTTGAGCTCTTATCTAATTGTTATCAGACTCAGCATGGTTGATTATGTATGTTCTATGCAATCTCAAGGCTACCTGAGAGCCCAATGAAGCACGATACATCCTGAACCACTGAAAATAAAGCTCTTGCGTAACTCCTTTTTTGAAGAGAACACTTAAGACTACCTTTCCAAGAAAAAATACTAACATATTGCTATGCTAAGTTTTCGCATAATGAAACGATTTTTTATAAAGAAGAGCTACTGGTCTTATCTTTTTCATGGATTTTACTATCGTTGATATATCTGACAACTGGCGCAGTAAATCTCAGTGCTATTCACTTTCATCTTTTGAATGAGAGAGTTTCTTCATATATTAAATACAAAAACTCATCGTTTTGGAAATCATGAAGTAGTTAGTTCATCATAAAGAGAAATTTTCATTTTTTCATTCGTTCCAATGTATTACTTGTGTGTGATTATATGAAAAAAAATTTCTTTCGGCTTTATATGCTACATGCTGAATTTTTCTGTTCTGTGTACATTTCTTATCAAACTGTTTTATTTCTTAACAACATTAAAAAGGTATTCATCAAGCGTATACAATGAAGTTAACGAGAAGCAGTGTAGCAGAAATATTTCTGCCAGTCAAAAGAGTTTCTTTATTGCTCCTCGATTCTTTTCCTCTCTCTCTCTCTCTGTATCAAATACAACATTTAAATTTGTTGCAATTTCTATACATCGTCGATAATATATCTTTATGATTAATAACAGCTCGGCTTCTAATTTATTTATTTATTCTATACTTATTGTATTTCTTCTTCACGCCCACCGATGTCTTTACGGATGTAATCAAACATTTGTTTCAAATCTTGATCATCTGAGTTACACAATTCCATCTTTACATTCCACAACTGTTCCGTCTCATGATATATAACATTTTTAAGTCTAAATATAGAGCCAAGTGTAAATAGTACTTCTTGTTCAGTTTTAAAATAACTCAAATGACTGATATCAGCGAATGGACGCGTAGCAAGACGAGTATCAACTATTATTTCAAATAAAACACGTTGACCCGAATCTGTTGGAGTAAGTTGTTGTACAAATATTAATGCTTGATTCTTATCGTGACTTGTTGATAGAAAACTATTCATTGAAATTAAGTATCCTTCACTCGATCGAAGGTTATTTAGTTCATCTATAGCCATTGCTTGTCCTCGATAGACCTTCATGATAGGTGATAAAATTGTTTGAACAAACTTCTGATGTTCTCTTTTCAATTGATCAGAAATATCTTTAATAAAGAATCTCATTGAGAATAGAATATCAATATCTCGTAGCCTTAATGCTTTGTTGAGAATTCTGTATAAACAACAATCTCTTGTATACCACCAGATGCTTCTGTCAGTACAATAATTAAGTTCAAATTCTCTCATTATTGATTCTTCATGAGGATTATCTTCATAACTTTCTTTGCACATTACGACTAGTTCTTTCATGTCACATATTGATCGAGGTAGACGGAATAAGACATCGATGAGTAGTTGAAACCAGATGAATGTGCCACCAAGACCTTTTTGTTGTTGATTTGTGTACGAATAGACAGATATGTTTAAAGTTTCTTCAGTATGAGATCGAATTTGTTGATCAAATGATATTTGTTTGATCAGGACAGCTGCATCAATAAACACGCCTTTTATCTAAAAAACAATCATCATATAGCTTAGAAAACGAAAAATCAAACGGAATCGCTTACTTTATGGAATTTTCTTGTCCATTGTTCATTTTTTTCTTAACAACATTAAAAAGGTATTCATCAAGCGTATACAATGAAGTTAACGAGAAGCAGTGTAGCAGAAATATTTCTGCCAGTCAAAAGAGTTTCTTTATTGCTCCTCGATTCTTTTNTCCAACAGTAAATGTAAATGGCAGATATTTGTTGAAGATCGTGAATGCGCGAGACGAGCTTGTTTCCTAATCCACCGCTGACAATTAGCACAATTTTCTCATCTTTTACTTTTCGAATATATTCTTCACATTCATCAGATGTGTGAAATGTTTTGAGATAATTTATTGTGGCTCTTAATTGTATTTGTGTTTCTCTATTTTCTGCAGTTGAATCAACGTTTGCATCAAGCCACAATAAGGAGAATGTTTCAAGATTACAACATTTAATTGGCACTCCAGTCGACAATTTCTGTTCTATTAAATGCTGATCAGTTTTATCTAATTTTTGATGTTTGTTTCCCATCCTAAAATGAGCCGGAATAGAAACAGAACTC